AGAGTCAGGAGCCAAAAAGAGGGGTTAAGAAGGTTAAGGGGTGTGGTGGAGGCAGAAAGTGGAGACGAAAGCAGACGACAGAACAATGTTAGCGAGCTAGTAAGGGACAGAAAGGAGAAAATTGTAGAGAGGAAAATGTTAAGACGCTTTCCGGAATCCAAACCGGGACCTATTGAATGGGAAGCGAACATGATAACCTCTCGACCACGAGAGTCTCGTCTTCTTTCTTTGGAACATTTTGTGAGTCTTTTCTCACAAATAATGGATTGAATCCGAAGTCTTCTAGTCATGCTAGTACATTAATACATCTTTTGTGTATTTTGTGAGATGTACATTTATTTTAAGTTTGTATCATTTTACATGGTTGGTTGAAAAAGAAAATATAATATTAAATTTTGTACTGGGCTGCAAAAAACATTTTTTTAAAAACTTAATTATCAGTGAATATATCTTTCCAGGATCATGGGATGTCCCTCCCTCCAACAGGCCACACGACTTGCTGCAGACAGACACCTGTGTCTCCCCGCGACACCCCAGGGTACAAGCGGAAGAAAAAAGTAAAGTAAGTATATCTTTCCAGAGATCTGAGTAGTCCATCGGATTAACGGGAATAGTCACTAACTGAAAATCGTGAGGGTATCCATAAATTTTGAAGACTTGTTGACCCATAACTCACTGTCATAACTGTACTTCTGTTCAACTATTGGTTGATTATTGTAGTGAGATTTCCCATTCAACAAACATAAAAATAAACCACCAGTCAAACAAATATGAAGTTATGAGTCTACACACTTTTAAAATTGACACCCTCATGATCTCCAGTTTGTGACAATGGCCGTTTCTCCTGTGGACTCCTCATTTATTGTGTGAAGTCTTCAAGACTGACCATTTCAGTGATGTCTACACCCAAAGGCAGACGGAAGATGAAGAAAAGTTTACGGTTCAGCTCTGCCCAAGATGTTCTGATCCTGTGCGCACGTTTGGTCCTGAGTACAGTAGAGTCCTGCCCGACAGTCACATTGAGAGCGCAGAGCGTTCACAGGACCCAAGCACGACTCTCCCAGACCTGCCAAGGGCTGACAGCTGAGACAAAGAAGTGAAATGGAAAAAGTTGGAAGAAGGGGGGGGGGGTTGACTTCATTGATCCCCGTCAGTCTGTTGTTTGACCTTGAACTGGGTAATGAGAGTAAAACATAAACAATCCCCACGCCCACCACATTCTTCCCACGGGTCGACAGCTGCTGAGATAAGCTAGCATCTGCGTTTGTTGCCATTTTATTGTCCAAAAGTTGCCAAAAGTTGCCACAAAAATGGCAAAAGTTGCCATAAAAGTTGCCAATAATTTTCAAGCTTTCAACTCTCTGTGACGACGCATAGACCTTTAGCAAAATGTTGAGAGACGCAACTTAACCTAAAGCACCAGGATTTCTTGTGCTCTGTTTCAAGCAACCAGAATATAATTTGTAGCACACGCAGTGTAAAAACGTGAAAAAGAAAGGTTTCACAACAGAAGGAAATCACGCTTAGAACGGAACATAAACAAACACAAAAAAGAACAAATAAGGGCGTGTGTCCATATAATATCCGAGGACTGGCCGTTTTAACCCTAAACGTGTTTAATTCAAGAAAAAGTACATGGAATCACACACAATGGGCCTTCCAGTGTCAGTACATGTATTTGGTTTTGGTGGAGACACGCTCTGACATAACGGATTTAATAAATTTCTTTTAAAGGTACCGAAAGAACAATATCAAATTAAATGACATTGAAATGATATGCTATATAAACACAAAAAATAGAAAACACATCAGAACAATAACAAGAAAAAAAATTAACACACGAGCAAGTTAAAACACAACAAAGAGAGAAAAATATAAATAAAAACAGCAATATAATATATAGTATGAAATGTACTTATAAATATTTTTCATATGAAAAAAAAAAACCCATCGTTGTGTCAACAAGTAAGAAAAGACGAAGAGAAGCAGAAGTGAAAATAAAACTTATTTCAAAAAGTAAAGAGGTTCGGTGAAAGTGGGGTTTGTAAAAGGAAGTTAATCAAACCATTTACTTGGGACCGCATATAAATATCGGCACATTAGCAGTTACACCTCGTTTTTTTTAAACCATAAATGATAAATTATTTGTGGCTTTTGTAGCTCTTTTTAAAAAGTATTCTTTTACGCTCCCATTTAAACAGATTTGGATTATTTTGGAGGCAGGCTTCCCAACTGGGGCCGAGTGTAGCCCAGCCCCCGAGCAGAAGGACAGACACACTCAATAAAACTTCTAGCTTCGCAAGATTTGAACTCGAGTCATCTGCTTGCGACAACGAAGCGTCTAACCACTACACCACAGACGCAGACAATGACATCAAACAAACAAGAGCTCAGACAGCTTAATCCCTGGTCATTTCCTGGGCATGCTGTTCTTGGGTGTGTCTTCTCCAAACAAAGATTTGTACTTTTAAAATCCCTTTATAATACTCCAAGGCACACAGGCCCGTTAGATCGTTCACATGCACAGTCGAAATAATTACATATTATCGAAGATAGTCCACCATTGTCAAGGAGGAAGAGTGCCGTATTACAAAAGACTATAGTGGAAGTTTTAATGTCATTATAATGTTAAAAGAACAAAATAAATAAAGAAAAAAATAAATAAACAAATAAATAAATAAAACAAAGCAAAACAAATAAACAAACAGCAAGGAGGAAAATTGGAAGTGGCTGTTTGTACAGGTGATTTTTTTTTTGAATTTTTTTTTTGGGGGGGGGGTTTTAGAAATTTTGTTTGTGAACGGTTAAAGGGAGACTATTCAGTCAATCCCGTCTTGTTGTTTCCAGTTATCTGATTAGTTCCCTTTAGTCGTTCTACCACTTGGTTGCCCCAGTGCACATGGGATAGAAGGAAGGTGGCGTAAAGAAAAAGAGAGAGAGAGAGAGAGAGAGAGAGAGAGAGAGAGAGAGAGAGAGAGAGAGAGAGAGA